GATTTACTTCCCCTCTCCCCTGCCTCAGTTTCCCATCTGCTAAGAGGAGAGGAGGTGGCGTTTCAGGTTCCTCAGGGCTCTAGTCCTCTGGAGTCCCTGAGCAAGAGGCAACCAGATGAGGCGCCTCTGCTGGTTACAGCCCCACTCGAGGCTTCTAGGATTAGAGGCTGCCATCTGGTCAGCGTTGATGGTGACACTCAGAGCATAAAGTTTACCCTTGAAAGCACCTTACTGGGAACAGGCGTGCCACCTCTCAGGACCTGCTGCAGCTGGTCCCCACCCCCTCCACCACTGGAAGGACTGTGCTTTAGAAGAAATCCAGGGCGGAGTGAAAAAGATCAGCGCGTGTGGGGTGGGAGGGCAGGCTGGCCAGGTGCAGAACCAGGAGCCATCAACTAGGTTCTGACTCATGGCAACCCTGTACACAGCAAAACTACACCCTCCCAGCCCGGTGCCATCCTCACCACCATTGCTACACTTGAGCCCATTGCTGCAGCCACTGTGTCTGTCAATCTCTGTGAGGGTCTTCCCATTCTTACTGACCCCCCAACTTGACCACATGATGTCTGTCTCCAGGGACTGGGCCCTCCTGCTAGCATGGCCAAAGGGCATGAGGGGGCATCTCATCATCCTGACTTCAAAGAAACGCTTCTGTGGCACTTCTTCCAACACAGATTCAGTCATCTTCTGCAAGTCACTCTTCTCCAAGCCAGTAGGTCCCAGGCCCTCGTTGGTGGCCAGTGGAACACAGGGCGCTGAGCACTCCTTTAGAACCCCAGGGTTGTGCAGCCCAAGGCCTGGGCCCTGATGTGAACTGTGGGCTTTGCCCAATGTTAGGGTGTCGGTACCCATCACCCATGAGCTCCGAGGTCATTAACAAGCCAAAGGTACGAGGTCCTCAGTGCCCAAGTCCACTTCCTTGTTCACAATAGTGGCCAGTGGGTTGCCCCATACACACACACACACACACACACACACACACACACACACACACGACATTCGTGCTTGTTTTCTGTTGAGCGCATGTAGGCAGAGTCCTGTGAAGTCCACCTTATTCATAAAAAACCCTCACCTCTTGACTAGGCAGGCACTGAACTGCCCCCCCCCTCCCCCGCTCAGCTTTCAGCCACAGCCCTGCAGGGGAAACAACCAAATCCGAGAGGCACATACGCCTTACAACAACCACCACAGGAGACTTTCTGAAAGGCCGTATTATTATCGCCAGAGAGGAAGCTCCGAGGGAAGGGAGCGGGCGGAAGGGGGAAGGGTGCAGTCACACTGGGGGCAAGGCGACTGAGTCAGCGACTCTTGATGGGTGATCTCTAAGCTCTCACTCACGCTCAACCTTCCCAGCTACCGGCCTCAGTTTCCCCTGGCCCCCAGCCACCACAGTCACCAGAAAAGACAGACTTACCGACGACACGGTCCCCCGCTTTTACCCCCATCTTCCTCATGGACGCTGCAAACAAAGACACTTGCTGCCTCAACTCTTCAAAGGTCACCTTCACAATGTCCTCTTTGCCTTCCCCTGGGAAGAGAGAAGGGTGTATCACACGACAGTCTTGAACCTACTCTCAGCAGGCCGCGGAAGGACTTTTTTTTTTTCAGTTTTAAGATATTCTGTTTTTGTTTTTTTGCAATGAACATGTACTTATTATTATATGCATCATATTATCATATGTAAATATCACATAGCATAGATTTTTGTAAAATTTACTCTTTGGTATTTAAAGGGTAAAGTATGAGCATTTTGAATAGTAACAATTTATTTCTCAATAAACGTTTACTCAGCAACCTACCTAATATGTTATCACAGGACATTTCACCAAGGAACATGTCATAAATTTAATCGATGCAATGGAAAGCACCTGGGCGGCCTACACCCGTTTCTGAATTTGGCAGCCCATCTCTTCTGACTCAGGGAACTCAGTTGAGGCTCAGGCTCACATAAGTTTTGGTATAAGATTCATTCTTTTTTCTTTTTCCTTTTCATATGGTTACTTGGATTTT